TCTCAGAATTGTGGGCACACACACCCATTGTGTTTTTCAAGTCACCCGTTCAGGTACTCAAACCACAGAGTTGGCCATGTGGCATCCAGTACCTTAACCACCATTCCACCTGCTGGCCCCTTAGTTGGGGAATTTAATCTTGACGTTTAATGTTGTTCTCAATAGATGTGCACTTATCCTTGTCCTTTCACTCTTTTTATTTTTTTCTAATTGTTTTGTGTTCTCTTCTATTTATCTCCCTTTAGTTCTCCCCATATAGTATTTGCTTGAGTATTTCTTTTAAAGCTGGTATAGTTTGGTGAATTTTTTCAGCATTTGTTTATCTGGGAACAACTTTATTTCTCCTTCCCATTTGAAGGATAATCTTATCAGGTACAGTACTCTTAGCTGCAATTGTTTTTCTTTCAGAGTTTTGAGTATGTCTTCCCATTTTTTCTTTGCCTGCATTGTTTCAGTTGAGAGGTCTGATGTTAGTCTAATGAGGTAACCTCATTTTTAGGTTTTTGTGCTTGCTGGAGAGAGATAGAGAGTAACAATGAGAGGGAAAGTGAAAAATCACCTTCCACATCACAGTCCCTTCTTCATTCATCTTCTGGTATTTTGCTCACGCACACTCATGAGCCAGGTATGATTTTCAAGCCTTCAGGTCCAGAACTTGAACTGGACTGTGACTGGCCATGTGTGAGTCTAGCACCTTAACCACCACACCACCTGCTGAGCCCAGTGGGGTAACCTTTGTAGGTAGCTTGGTGTTTCTCTCTTGCCATTATTAGAATATTGTCTTTGATTTTTATCAATTTGGCTATGACATGCCTTGGAGAGGATCTTCTTATTAACTATTTGGTATCTTTTGTATTTCCTGGATTAGATGTCTCTAATCTTCTCTAAATTTGGAACGTTTTCAGCTTATATATTATGAATGAGATTTTCTATGTCTTTATCTGTCTTTTTACCTTCTGGAATACTTATCATGTGGATATTCAGCCATTTAATGGTATATAGGATTTCCTGTATGTTTTTCTGATTTTTATTAGGTATTCTTCTGTTCTTTCCAGTTGTTTGGACTAAATTGGAGGTTTTGTCTTCAAGATTATATATTCTTTCTTCTGCATGGTCTCATCAACTGTTAATACTTTCCAGGGGTGTATCATAAAGGAGATTTCTATGCCTTTACTTATCTCTTTGCCTTCTGGAATATCTATCATGTGGATATTTGGCTGTTTAATGGTGTCTAGGGTTTCCTATACGTTTTCTTGATTTTTAATGGTTATTCTTCCATTCCTTTTTTTTTTTTTTTTTTGAGAGAGACAGACAGAAAGTAAGAAATCACTCCCTGGGGCGATAGCCATGCCACAATCTCTTCTCCTCCATTCACTTCTCAGGAACTCAGGCACACACACACACTCGCCTGGCATTGAGTTTAAGTCCTGGGTCCAGGACTTGAACCATGGTTGGACTACATTGGAAGTCCAGCAACATAGCCGTTATGCTAACTGCTGATCCCTCTTCCATTCTTTTAAATTGCTTGGAGTAAATCAGAGGTTTTGTCTTCAAGGACAGAAATTCTTTCTTCTGCATGACCTAATCAGCTGCTGATACTTTTGAAGGATATTTTTATTTCCTTCACTGTATTCTTATCCCCAGAAGTCCTGCCTAATTCTTTTTAAGGGTGTCTATCTCTTTATATTCCTTCTTCAAGTCATGGAAGGATTTCCTCATCTCCTGGAATTGGTTGTCTGTTTTCTCTTGCATCTTACTGAGAATTCGTTGTCTGTTTTCTCTTGCATCTTACTGAGTTGTGCTATGATGAATATCCTGAATTCTTTTCTGATATTTCTGTGATCTCTTGTGTTTTATTGGTTGTTGTTGAGGAGTTATTTTTCTTTGAGGGGAGGTTTCTCCTGTTTTAGGGGGGCATTGCTTTGATTTTTGTCATCTGGTGATCTACTCATTTCTTCTTAATTCTTTGGAGTATGTTTCTATAGTTGTGAGCCCCTGAACTTCCCTGTGGTGTGAGTTAGCTCTCTGCCAGTTTCCCTCCTCCGCTGTGGCTGGGAGTGTGGAATCATAGTAGGAGTTTGGGGTTTAAGTTTCACAGGGCAGTTTCTCTTCTCTTGCTCTTGTGGGTAGGGGGATGGAGGGAAGTTGTTGGGAGAGAATTACTCCAAAGCCTTACTGTTTTCAAGTGTTTGGGTACGGAGTACCTAGACCTCATTGCTTGCATTGTGACTGGAGGTTGAGTTGGACAGGCAGGATATAAGGTGGTAGTCCTGTCTGTGCACCACATAATGCACAGCATGCAAATTGGAGCAGCCCCTCCTCCTCTACTTCAGCCTGGGTAGTGGTCCCTGCCGATGAGCTAAAGCCAGCAGCCTTTGCTCCTGGATGGGTGGGTGATGGGCAGAATGCATCTGCCCATGTCCCGACCTGCAGGACAGTCGAACAGGTTTCCTGAGGGAAGGAGTGAGAGACGGGACAAACGGCGCAGTGGTGACACACGGAGACC